TGGTAGCATCTACGGCCAATTTTCAATAGCTGGTATTCCGTCCGCACAGCTTATCTTATCAGCTGAACCCAGGTTAGCGAATAATGCCTGTGGACAACCGTGCACTTTTTTATCGACCTCAGGCAGGGTCATGCATCCCCGCGGCATTCTTGTCATGTCGACTGCTGCGGAGTTGTGATTCCCCCCTAGGTGATGGTCGGTGCCTCCCTTAACTGGTGTTGGTTCTCATCTTGGCGCAGAAAGTGTTAGTTGTTGAGAGGTCGGAGAAAAGTGGTGGAGCATGTAGAGCATCGCTCCCTGCTGTTGGAATTTGCGCTTACACTTGTTTAGTCAGACAGCGTAATTTCCTTGTCTCGCTTTCGTCGGATAGTGGTAGAGATCTCAGTATGTCGTACACAGGTTGGTGTTGTACATTGGGTCTGTCAAAGTTAAGACTGTGGGGGAGGAAGAGCGCCGGTTATCACCTGCGTGTTGTGGCCCACACCGCGTGTCTTCAGCAGTAGGGGATCCTGCTGCCAATGAAAGTGTTTTACTTTGTTATAGATGCTGGTTTGACGCAACACTTGCTCGAAGGAACCAGTTAACACGATGGGATCCTATTTCGTTGGGTTAAAAACCCCATTCATGCTGAATTTTGTCTTCCAGGCGATGAAGAGCTTACAAGTAATGGCAAACTGTTCTGGCTACAGCTGTTATGGTTCATCATATTTTTGCAGAACTAAGTGCTCGTTTTTCCATTTTAACGTAGTCAGACATCGATAGCGAAGTCATTGCAATCCTAAGTTAGGGGCAACGAGAACCTCACGTTGCAATTCGATAGTAGGAATTGTTTTTCGTGAATAAATTGACCCCTTTTCCGCCGCCAATTAGTACGTATTGATGTTGATAAACTCTGCTCTCTATTTAATGTGGTTTGGCAGGAACTACTGCTTCTATTGTGTCTTAAATTCTATGCCAAACACTTTCTTCAGCATCAAGACCTTTATCGCTCAGACCTAGCCTTCTTTAGGATTTTATATAACCCATTTTAATTTGTGTCTAGTAGGAATCGTCTAATTCTACTATATTTATCCCTCCAACTGCTCTTTTCCTAGTCTCACTTTTTGTTTATGTATCCAGGAAAGAACACGACTCTCAGCGAACAGGCCTGTACTCTGCAGGATCGTCTGTCAGACATGGAATCCGAGTTGAAAGAGGTTCGCGAGCGACTCAGCGCGACAAATGCAGATTTGTCCAAAGCAACAGGTTGGTTTTATTTCTGGATTTTTTGCGCCATGTGTACCTCCGATGTATGCTCTTCAAT